AAAAAAAAAAAAAAAATCATGAATAAAAAGTGTTATAATATCACTTGTGAGTTGTCCCACATCGTTGATACATACTGGAAGGAGAAAGAGGAGTAACCCATTAGACTTGTAAAGTGAGTCTATTTTCCATGTATAAAAGATGTGGGACAACTCACAAGTGATATTCTAACAAAAATCATGAACATTTGATAATACTATAAGTAAATGTTTACAAAGTCTGAGTGCATGACGCGGTTACTCTGTGTCTTACATAAAAAAAAAAAAATTATGGAGTAATAGAATAAGTTAGGTTAAAATTAATAAATTAATAGAATAAGTTATAATTAACAAAAGGTGAATATTTCGTTTTAATTTTACTACTACATTCATAAAATTATTTTAATACTACATTCATAAAATACTTATTTTCGTAAAATTTTCACAAAACACCTCTCATAACACAAATTTTCAAGGATGATAATGTAATAATATTATAAATTAACCATATACAATTGAAAAGTGTTTTATAATTTAATAATATAAAATTAATTTTTTTTTTCTTCATATCATAGAAGTTGCATTAACAAGATTTTGAAGATACTCAAGTCAACAATGCTTTCTCAGTAGTTTTGGTACAAGTATGAATGGAAGGTTTGAATGGGATGTGTTTGCAGCTATAATTTTCCCCACGAGCAACCTAAAGTACAACGCTTGAAAATTTAGGGAGATGAAGCTACCTTAATGCTATTACATATTCATAATAATAATGTTTTTCACTGTTTCAAAAGATACAACTATATATTTCAATTTTATATCTAAAATAATATTGTTTTTCACTATACTTGGATCCAATAAATTTTTTATTTTTGTTCAATATATAAGTTAAAAAGTACAATCGATTTAACTCATACAACGGCCCCTAATTTCTTTCTTTTGTATGCCCTTAATTGATCATGTAAGCATATATATGATATCTAGAATGCTATACAATACTAAGAGCATCCACAATGCTTTAGGTTTAATCTCAAAAAGTTATATGACACCTAATAAATAGACCCAGTCTAAAAAATTTTATTCACCAATGCAAATAAAAATAGACTGGGTCATGCTTATGTGGCAGCCAGAAGAAGAGACCCGGTCTACCCTTAAGTCTATTTTAGACCCAAGCAGAGACCTAGTCTCTTTGCATTGGAATGAATTTTGTTAATTTTACATAGTTTTATCCATGTCATTCAAGACTGGGTTTATTTACGTGCCACATATGCAAGACTAGACCCAATGCGTTGTAGATGCTCTAATAAAATGGTCTTGGATAATCTTTAACTCTACAAACTTAGCTTTTAACCCATCTAAGTATATGATTTCCAGAATGCTATACATATACTTAGGCCCCGTTTGGAAGATAGCGGATTCAGCATAAATTAGCGGATTAGACTTAATTGAGAGGTTTGACCTGTCAAATCCGCTAT